ATCCGACACTCTCGGCGCCGAGATGGGGGGCCCGCTGGATACCGATCCTGTGCTGGGCCCCCCCCAGGCCGAGGCCCCGATGCGCCCGCACCTGCTGCATTGGCGGTAGTTCCGCCACTGGTGTGTCAGACATCTGCAGACAGACCACGGTTCTGCACAGAGAGGAAGGGTCCCACTCTGCAGCTTCTGGCAGGGGACAGGATTTAGCTGCTTTATAGAAAAAAAAAAACTGTAAGACATTGACATCCTTTGGTTTTCAAGCATCTGGAATGTATTTAGCTGATTTTAACACAGGGTTTAGTTGGGCTTTAAATTAGAAATGCAGGTCTAGTGGCAGGGTCTCTTCCGTTTAGGCAACTATCAACAAGGGGATTAAATCTATTACTAGGCAATTAACATCCCACGTGTCACCCCAGCTTTACAGAGATTATTATCACTATGTATCACACTTGCAGACATGCAGGAAATACTGACAGATGATCTGATTATGTGTATTTCCTGTACAAGAAAGAAGATCTGGTTCCATCAGTTATTATATAACCTCTCGCACATTGGCCACAGTGGTACACCATCTTAAGGTTTCATAAACATTTTCAAATCAGGGTTGTATGATTTGAGTTTGTGTTTATACTGATGACTCATTAAATATCAAAGTTCTAGTGAATATGTCAAAAAGTATCCTAAAAGCACTAACTCAGATGGTAATACAGCGTGTTTAACTCAGAGGGTAATACAGTGTCTTCATAAGTTGCAATGTAACAGGGTTTACAAAAATGCTAGTTAAATGCAATTGTCTGTATTCAGTGTCACCAAAACTGAAATTTCTATTGCCAGGGATATCTGTAAAGAATAAGTCAAGACAACTGGACTAATCTGTTAGTCGCAAACAGGTGTTGATTGCATTTGCATAATTGCAGTCTAGGAGGTGTTATTAACCTGCCCAGAGAGAGGTGTTAAAACAGCATTGTATGTGGCAGACAATAGATGTCTCACCCCCTCACCTCTATTATTATTATACAGGATTTATATATCGCCAATAGTTTGCACAGCGCTTTACAATATAAGGAAGACATTACAGTCACAATACAATTTAAGACAAGATGGTAAGGAGGGCCCTGCCCGTGAGGGCTCTATTCAAGCTTGGCTTCTCCATTTTTACATACACGGCCTCTTTCATACCTCTATTAAATCAGTCCTCCTCCCTGTCTAGAATGCATACTTGACTGTCTTCAAAGGAGGGACCTTTTTCCTTTACATGTAGGAATACTGCCGAATCCTGGCCAGAGGGTTTTGCTCTTCTACGCTGTGCCATATGCTGGTGTGGCTGCTGTTTTCTTTCACCGACATACAATTCTGAGCACTCCTCACTGCACTGGACTGCATACACAATGTTGTTCATCTTGTGTTTTGGCGTTGGATCTTTTGGGTGAACCAGTTGTTGCCTCAGTGTATTGCTGTGTTTAAGGTAGACAGGGCTGTGATGTTTTTTAAAAACCCTTCTGAGTTTCTCAGACACCTCAGCTACATATGTGATGACCAAATTCTTCAGTTTGTTATGCTTTTCACCCTCACTGGTACTCTTGGCATTCTTTCCTCTCCTTTTTCCTGTTTTGACAAAAGCCCAGTCAAGTTTTAAGGGCCCCCCTGAGGTGTTTGAATTCCTTTGTCTTGGCCTCTGTTCTGGTGGGAATTTTCTCTGCCCGGTGGTGTAGAGTGAAGTCAGTGAAGGCCTGTATATCTTGTTTGTGAATCTTAACCCAAGTGTCATCCACATATCTGAACCAATAACTGGGTGTAATTCCTTGAAGGTGGTCAGGACCTTACTTTCTCCTTCCTCCATGTACAGGTTCGCCACAATAGGCAAAACTGGCGATCCCATGGCACAGCCATGTTTCTGCCTGTAGAACTTGTCCTTGTACTTGAATTAAGTGGAACTCAGGCAAAGGTCCAATAAGGCACACACTTGATTTGGGTTAAGTTCTGTTCTGCTGCCCAGGGTGTTGTCTAGCAGCAACCATTTCTCACTGCTCTAATTGCCTCTGTGGTGGGTATGCAGGTGAAGAGGGATGTGACATCATAGCATACCATTGTTTCTTCTCTGCCCAATATTAAGTTCTTGATTTTGTTTGTGAAATCCTGAGAGTTCTGTATGTGGTGTTGTGTATTTCCAACCAAAGGGGCAAGGACTCTGGCTAAGTATTTTGCCACGTTATAAGTCACAGAGTTTATGCTGCTGACAATTGGACTGAGAGGGGTCCCATCCTTATGTATCTTCGGAAGTCCATATATACACGGAGGGGCTTCACCAGGGTAGAGGCGATGATACATAGCCCGATCAATGGCTTTGTCCTTTTCCAGCTGTTGTAGTAGATCTATAGCTTTATTCTTGTAACCACTGGTTGGGTCCCTTCTTAGGGCTTCATATGTGTTGTTATCATTCAGAAGTGCAGTCACCTTATCATCGTAGTCAGATGTATTAAGTACAACTGTGCATCTTCATTTATCAGCAGGCAGGATGGTGATGCTCTTGTCTTTCTTAAGGGATGTGACCGCCCTCCTGAATTGTGCAGTCAGGTTTGACGGAGGTGGTTTGGCACTGGCCAGGGCTGCAGACACTTTTATGCGAAGTTGTTCAGCCTCACCCTGTAGCACTAGGTCACTGTGGATTAAGGCCTCAGTGGCTGAAATAATATCCACTACAAGGATGGTTCTGGGTGTGATAGCGAAATTCAACCCTTCAACAAGGACTTCCATCTCTGGCTTGGTGAGAACTCTGTCTGAAAGGTTCTTCACCCATTTCTCTTCTGCAATGTCCCCCTTTCTTCCTTCTACCTCCAAGTTAGTTCCTCCCTAGTATGGTTGTTTCCAGTTCGGTATAACAAAATGGAGAAATTCTTCTGTTGCCTCTTCTTGCCCTTAGTGTGCTGAGCTAGCTGTGCATGTACCATGAAGTCTGTTGCTGTCCTCCAAATATCAGCAGCAGGCCCGTCTTTAAACCTCCTGGTTTCCCTTATCTCTCCAGAGATAAGACAGAAAGCAGAGATTGGCAGATCGGGACCTTTGTCTGCTCTGCCTAGCAACTGATCTGCTGCCTGTCTGCAAGTAAGAGCAGGGGTGAGAGATTAGGGAAACCAGGAGGATGAGGGGCGAGAGAACTGGGATCACAGGCTCAATAACAGACTCTGAACCACTTGTAGACAGGCAGCAGAGATCAGAAGATCGGGACATTTAAAAAAAAAATCAAAGCACAGGGATAAGAGCCTATCATGCATGCCTAGACCGGCCCACCCATCTGCATCATCAGTTGCTAGTTGCTAGGCAGACAGGGGGCTGATAGAAAAAATATATAAAATAAATACATTGATTTGGGATGTTGGGGTGGAGAGAGAAACTGCATGGCAGGTAGAGGGTGTGGCTTGGTGGGTAGGGGCGGTGGCCCAAGAAAATGTTTGCCCAGGGTCCAATCAATATTAAAGACGACCCTGGGTAAAACCATTATCTGTGCACTTTGTCTGTAGTTGCTATTTAAAATTGTTTTGTTGCTGGCCAATGTTACACTGCTGTATCCTCCATGATCTG